TATATGTATATTTGTATATATATATATATATATATATATATATATATATATATATATATATATACATACAAAAATTTCTTGCTCTTTTAAACATCATTTGGGAAATATTTGTAAAAGAAATGCACAGGAGGGCTAATAAGTCAACTGTATATTGCGAATACTATTATCACGATAATGATGGTTTAGCGATATATCATGCAGTCCATGTTTTGGCCACTGTATATGAGATCCTGCCAAGAGAAAACGGCCACATGTATTATAAATGGCCACTGAAATAAACTAGTGACGCTCTTTTCCCAATCTCATTTCCCTCAAAACTTCATCACTGATCATATTTGAAGGCAACTTTGTACCACTTACACACGGGTTAGTGAACGGGTCATTCCCAAGAGAACCAGCGGCTCAGTGGCTTCCACAGCACTGAGGATTCATAAATCAAACGCTGAGCTGCGTAATATCATAAAGTACCCGGAGAGCCTTCCAGGGCCGTGTGTGTGTGTGTGTAATAAACTTAAGAAGCCAGCAGCAACAAACTACTGCAGCGACTACAGACAGAAATGACCACAAAATACTAGCAAAACCACAACGTCTCAACTGGTTGATCGCATATCTGACGGATCACCAAAAAAAAAAAAAAAAAAACATTATAAATGCATGTGGTAAAATTCAACAAAGCATAACTGGCTGATCACATGCAGCATCTGATGGGTTAGAAAAATAATCCTCATAAATGTAAATTATAAGATGCAACAAAGCATAACTGGCTGATCACATATCTGATGGGTCACTGAAAAACCATTTTATAAATGCATGTAATAAAAGGCAACAAACCATATAATCAATCATGCATAGAAAGGACGGTTAAAAGGAAAAAAATGCATCTCTTATATATATATTTTGCTAGCTGAACTCTTTATGTTTGTACAGTACTAAAAAAAACTAATAAACATGTGCACTATTAAAAAAAGTGCTTGGTTGCTGTTACCCACTGTTTGACAAACTCGATGATGTGCTCATTAGGGTTAGAGCTTATTGTTAAAATGAAAAGAAATGTCTTGTTTTTTTGGCAGCTGAACTCTGAACAAAAATGAACATGAAGAAGCAACCAAGCAAAAAAAAAAAAAAAAAAAAATATGACCAAACATTGGGTTACAACAACATTGGACAAACTTAATGTTGTGTTCATTGGGGTTAGGGGTTAAAGGGAAAGAAATGTCTTCTTTTTTGCCAGCTCAACTCTGTACAAACAGTATCAAAAAGCAATGTATACACTATTAAAACAATGCTTGGTTGCTGTAACACATCATTGATGTGTTCATATTTTCTGATACCTTTAAATTACACTTTTTTTTCACCCAATATTGAGTTTGTCTATATATGTCCAAACATTGGGTTATTTGAGCTAATTCTCTGAGCTAACTCTGAAACTCTGAACTAACAATATAAAAAACAAAGACAATGCACACACTTTTTTACCCAATAGTTAAATCCATCAATATATGACCCAAACATTGGGTTATTCACCTTATTCTCCGCAGACGAGCGGGCGCTGCCATTTGAATCTTTTTGGCACGAGACTTCCGGTCTCATTCACTTCCATTCATTTTTAGACATTAAAAACTGCTCGTTTCGCTGTTTGATGTTGCAAACTGATATTTCCTTGTTATATTATTCTACTTGGTCTGTATAGTCATGCAAACATTTGTTTGTAGAGCAAGTAGTTTGACCGTTTTTTGCAGTTTATTATTCCTTGTCATTTCTCCCATAGGCGACTGAAACGGAAGTTCTAAGACAATCGCGAAAACAGGCGCACTTCCGCATTTTAGAATAAGGTCAATAACAATGCTGGACTCATTTTTTTCAGTTAAGTTTGTGCCATATAATTGATCATGCACAGTAAGGAAAGCATGTCTTATTTTGCCAGCTAAACTCTGTATGAACAGTATCCAAAAACAATTTCTAACACAACATCGGGAGTTTCATTTTGTAAATTAAGTATAAACTACACTTTTTATTTTATCCATTGGTTCAATTCGTCCATAAATGACCAAACATTGGGTTAAACAATACTGGACAAACCTAATGTTGGGTTCATTAGGATTAGAGTTAAAAGTGAGGAAATGCCTTCTCTTTTGTCAGCTAAACTCTGAACTAACAAAATAAAAAAAAAAACAAAGACAATGTATACACTTTTTTTATCCAACAGTTAAATAGATCAAAATATGACCCTAACATTGGGTTATAACAATGTTGGACTCATTTTCTTCAGTTAAGTGTGTGCTTTATAATCGATCGTGCACAGTAAGGAAAGCAAGTCTTATTTTGCCAGCTAAACTCTGTATGAACAGTATCAAAAAACAGCGGATAACACAACATTGGTGGTTTCATTTTGTCGATTAAGTATAAATGACACTTTTTCTTTTATCCATTGGTTGAATTTATCCATAAATGACCAAACATTGGGTTAAACAATGCTGGACAAACCTAATGTTGTGTTCATTAGGATTAGAGTTAAGGTAAAAGGAAAGAAATTTATTTTTTGTCAGCTAAACTCTGAACTAACAATAAATAAAAAACAAAGACAATGCACACACTTTTTTTTACCCAACAGTTAAATTGATCAATATATGACCCAAACATTGGGTTTTAACAATGTTGGACTCATTTTTTTCAGTTAAGTTTGTGCCATATAATCGATCATGCACAGTAAGGAAAAAATGCATGTCTTCTCATTTTGCCTGCTAAACTCTGCATGAACAGTACCCAAAAACAATGTATAACACAACATCGGGAGTTTCATTTTGCCAATTAAGTATTTTTCTTTTATCTAACTGTTAAATTTTTCCATAAATGACCAAACATTGGGTTAAACGATGCTGGACAAACCTAATGTTGTGCTTATTAGGATTAGAGTTAAAAGTAAAGAAATGCCTTCTTTTTTGTCGGCTAAACTCTGAACCAACAAAATAAAAAAACAAAGACAATGCACACACTTTTTTACCCAACAGTTAAATTGATCAAAATATGACCCAAACATTGGGTTATAACAATGTTGGACTCATTTTTTTCAGTTAAGTTTGTGCCATATAATCGATCATGCACAGTAAGGAAAGCATGTCCTATTTTGCCAGCTAAACTCTGTATGAACAGTATCCAAAAACTATGGATAACAACATTGGGGGTTTAATTTTGTCGATTAAGTATAAATGACACTTTTTCTTTTATACATCGGTTGAATTTGTCCATAAATGACTAAACATTGGGTTAAACAATGCTGGACAAACCTAATGTTGTGTTCATTAGGATTTCAGTTAAAAGGAAGGAAATGCATTTTTTTCAGTCAGCTAAACTCTGAACTAACAAAATAAAAATAAAAAACAAAGACAATGCACACACTTTTTTTTACCCAACAGTTAAATTGATCAAAATATGACCCAAACTTTGGGTTATAACAATGTTGGACTCATTTTTTTTTTTCAGTTAAGTTTGTGCCATGTAATCGATCATGCACAGTAAGGAAAGCATGTCTTACTTTGCCAGCTAAACTCTGTATGAACAGTATCCAAAAACAATGGATATCACAACATTGGGGGTTTTATTTTGTCAATTAAGTATAAATGACACTTTTTAGTTTACCCAATGGTTGAATTTCTCCATATATAACCCAATAAAAAGTTGCAACAACCCAGCCCTTTTTGAGTGTGTACTGGCAAAGCACATTATCCTTATTACATGATAGTTTAGTGTAATGTAGTGATTACTAACACAGCATTTTAATCACTGTTATTAATATTAGAAAATATTTTTGTAATATATGAAATATATATTTTAGTAAATAAAATACATTTGTGTGTAAAATAGGAGGATTTCTATTTAATGCTAATTTTTCTCCTTTTTGTATGTAGTGACCAAACACTTTTTGACGTGCAATGAAAGAAATGCAGTTGAAAGCCTCTGACTTATGCTCAATAATAGTTTAGTGTCTTGCCAATTACAAACCACTAGTCCTAAACTGCGGTTTTAGCATGTTCTGTGATGAATATGAAGAGGTTTGCCGGTGTCAGTGGTCGTCTCACCTCTCTCTCAGTCGCTGTCTCCGCTGCTGAACTGACTGAATGATGCTCTTAATCCAACGGGAGACCAAAGCCATCCGGCGTCTGATTCCATGAGGCTTTGCTGTGTTAAAATCCAACTGGAGCGAGAAAGGAAGCACTGGAGCGCTGCTTGAGAACGATGTGAAGCCTCGGAAAACACAAACGTTTGCAAATAGAGAGAAAAAAAAAGCCGGTTTGGATTCCAGCGCCTCTCGCAGCTGCGCTCCGATCAAATCACCATGCAATTCAGCTCCTTCTTGAATGCCTGCGCTCTCTCTCACTCACTCTCTTTTTCTCTGTGTCTCTCTCTCTCTGTTTGTGTGTGTCTCTCTCTCACACACACTCACTTACGCACACGCACACACTTTTTCTGCCTCTCTTTCACTCTCTCTCTCTCAATTCAATTGGTTGTTTTACTGCCGTGATGAAAACTGTGCGTTTGTTTTGTGACAGTACTGGAAAACAAGTCGAATCAAATGTACTGGAAGTAACAATGGATTAGACCAATGGTGCATTTTATTTGGGGGGTGTTGTTAAAATATCACTGGATTGAGTTTGATGATACTGTAGTCTTGTTACATCTGATTTCAAAGCACTGCTTGATGAAGCTTCAAAACCCTTTAATTCAGTTCATGTTTGTTTCCGTAGCGCTTTTACAATGTAGATTGTGTCAAAGCAGCTTAACATAGATCAGGGGTACTCAACCCTGTTCCTGGAGATCTACCTTCCTGCAGATTTCAGTGGCTACCCATTTCAAACACACCTGCCTGTAATTATCAAGTGCTGTTCAGGTCCTAATTAATTGGTTCAGGTGTGTTTGATCAGGGTGAGAGCTGTGTTTTGCAGGAACCTTCCTCCAGGAACAGGAGTGAGCAACCCTGACATAGAAGATCTAGTAGATTGAACCTGTGTCAGTCCAGTTTTCAGAGTTGAAGTTCAGTTTGGTTTAGTTCAGTGTGGGTTAATTTCTCACTGCTGAAAGTCCAAACATCGAAGAGCGAGTCCAGTGATGCACAGCTCCACAAGTCCCAAACCAAGCAAGCCAGTTGCGAGGAACAAACTTCACCAGTTGATGAAAGTGAAGGAAAAAAAACTCAAAAAAAGCCAGGCTCAGTTGGGCACGACTATTTCTCCTCTGTCAAAACTTATTCTGCAGAGCTGCAGTCTAGACACCAGCGGGTGGAGAACACTGGACGTCCATCGTGGAGAACCTGCTAGTGTAAGTAGGTCACAGGTGGGTGTTCAGACTGGCCCACTGAATCAATACGAAGACTCGACTGTCTCTGTGTCTTTCTGGAGTCAGTCTCATGCTCTCCACTCCTCCATGACCAGCCCGGCAGCTGCTCAGGATACGGCCTGGTCCAGGATTATGGAGACCTTGGCATCAGCTCTTCACAGGTCTTGGATCACATCAGTGGTGCTGCATAATCTCTAGAAGCCTCCGGATGAGTATCCCCAGGTGGAAATAGAGAATAAAGAAAATAATTAGCGTTGCTGCTGTTCATAGTGTATAAAAACAAGAGAAATTAAGGGATCCTTATGAATCTGTTGCTTTTGATCAATGGTTTGGAGCACGTGTAACCCCGCCGGTCCTACGCCATCCAACCCGGTCCAAGCTGGAATTGAATCGGCGACCTTCCGCATGGGAGTCGGGTGCTCTACCAAGGAGGCTAAAGGCCATGGTCTCTAGCGTCTGTCGCTAGAGCACCTTTAGTGGTCAGAGGAGTGAGGTTTACCTGCACAGCACACACCAGCTGGCCTCCGTTACACTCACCCCCCCCTAAACCTCACTCCCATCCGGGTCACGGCACCAATGTAACCCAGCCGGTCCTACTCCACCCAACCCGCTCCGAGCTGGTATCGAACCAGCGACCTTCCGCATGGGAGTCGAGTGCTCTTTCAAGGAGGCTAAAGACCATGGCCTCTAGCGTTTGTTGCTAGAGCACCTTTAGAGGTCAGAGAAGTGAGGTTTACCTGCACAGCACACCATAGCTGGCCTCCGTTACACACGTATTGAACTGGTAAAGTCTTGTGATTTCAGTAAATGAACTGTCACTGTTTTAAAAATTTCTAATTTAAATTCCCCATAAAATCAAAATGAATGTTTTTCAGATGTTATTATCAATATCTTAGTCTTAAGGATATCTATAAATTCTGTACTACAAACAGTGTCAAAAATCCAAAGCTTAGAGTTTGTCTCGTCCACCTAAATGAATCAACAATTGTATATTTTTGGGTGTCACCTCGTACTTTATCAAAATTTCTGATCAATCACATGTTATCTACAATCAGACATGTGCCACCCACTTCAAGACCCTTGGTGTGTTGTTGCATTTGCATAGTTTTGACCATCAGTTGTCCTTAGCATGTGGTGGTTTAAATGCAAAATGTGAATCATTTGGCAAAGCAATCGGTTCAATATTGTCATTTGCACATTGAGAGAACCCCCCCCCCCCCCCCCCAATCAACACACACACACACACACACACACACACACACACACACACACACACACACACACACACACACACACACACACACATATTTAAAGGCATAGTTCAGCCTTAAAATGAGTCATTTACTCCTCACCTCATATTTAAAAATGTATTTGATTTTCTTTCTTCTGTTTAACACAAATATAAAATAATGCTGGTTGATGCTACCCATTGACTTCCATAAAAATTTCTTTCATGCTATGAAAGTCAATCCTCGTAAAAAAAAATATTATCAGACATACTGTGGACATTTCCTTGCTCTGTTAAAAAACTATTTGGGAAATATTTAAAAAAGAACAACAAAAAAAATCGAAAGGGGGTAATAATTCTGACTTCAACTGTATATATTATTTAAATGTAATCTAAATATATACCTAAAATGTAGTCTACATATATAAATTAAATGTAAACTAAATATATACATAAAATGTAGTCTAAAGAATTAAAAAGAAAGAATAAAAATGTGTAAACAGTACAATACAATGACAATTAGGGGAATAGGGCAATGAGTGCAAACCAGAGCTGTGCAGATATATATATATATATATATATATATATATATATATATATATATATATATATATATATATATATATATATATATATATATATATATATATATATATATATATATATATATATATATATATATATATATATATATATATATATATATATATATATATATATATATATATATATATATATCTATATATATATATATATATATATATATATATATATATATATATATATATATATATATATATATATATATATATATATATATATAGTGCAAAACAGCTTGTAAACATGAGAATTATGTAAGGCGTCCTGTTTTTTTTTTTACGATCACAGAAAATCAGGACCTTGGTTTAATGTCTAAATAGCGTAGTGAGCAGTATAGAGTCTCCATCAATATATTGGGGCGTTAGGACCCATACAGACCACAGGTTGAGCACCTCTGCTGATCTCACTAACACCACTTTCAACAGCAACCTAGCTTTCCCATGGGGTTTCCCATCTAGGTACTGGCCAGTCGCAGCCCTGCTTAGCTTCAATGGGTGACCATGTGATAGTTGCACAGAGCTAGCTGCAGGCATATGCTAGCTCTACTGATGTTCGTATTGGCTGTCACTCAAGAAAGTCGATCTTCATTTGCATAAATGAGAAGGATTCTCGACTTTGTCGCGTCGCTCAACACGCTCACATCCATTTGCCAACAGTCACTGTTGCTCGGGTAGATGGAGGTCATTGTAAGTCGACTGCCCCCTGTTGAAATGAATGTTCGCTTTTTGCTTTGCCACTGTGAGACGCTTATAGTGTGAACACAGCTTTGCCTTTGTGATATTCCTAGAAAAGGTTCTAGTACAAATACAATATAGACGCAAGTGAATCATATCTGGCATTTCCAAATGTTGCCCCCTTTTTGTCGTTCATTTAAGAAGGTGTCCTGACAACTGGACTCAGCAACGAAGCTCACCTTCACCATATGTTCATATACAATAGCTGTCCATCTGCTCTACAGCCCGCTAAAGCTGACATCTGTCCCTTTTTATTAGAGATCCTATCAAATATAGCATTAGGTTTTTATAATGTATCCTCGGTGAATGTCCTCAGGTCACCTCGGCTAATGAACAAAGAGCTTTTCTGCGGTTATCTGAAATCGTTTTGAATGGTGAATGCGCAGCGGCACTCCATGAAAAATAAATAGTTGGATAGTCTTATTCAGATAGGGGAGATTGGGCTGTTATGAGCATCAAATATTTAGAGGCCAGCAAAGCATCCGACGCAGAGCTGATATTGACTTCATGCATATATTTGGCTGGTCTGTCTTGGAGGGCTGTCTAGAAGAAGCAAACAGTATCATTTTGATTACCGCTCCTTATTTAGACATTGTTTCTTTGTCATTTCATTATTAAGTGTACACTAAAATCTTTAATGGAGAATAACAGAGGGAGCTTTATCCAAAATTAAAGTGCTTGGAGTCTCCTACAAACGGTTAATCAAGGTCAAAAAAAACCTTGACGTGTCTGAAACCTTTGGTTTAAGAATCCAGGCTTGCTCTACTCTGATTGGACAGAGGGCTTAGTCTGTTGTGATTGGCCAGAGCTAAATGTTTAATAGCATTTTTGAGTTTCTGTAACAGAGACCTCGTCCTTTTAGACTTTTAGAATTTTAATCTAATGCGATCTGGCGGCACTTCTTTTAGCCTTTATCCTCCAAAAATTTGGAACTGTCTCCCTCTTGAAGTGAAAGAATCCCCTAGTATTCATGCTTTTAAAAAGCGTGTTAGGACCATAGACTGTAAAATATATGGACGTAGTATCCGTGACGTCACCCATAGGTTTCTACAGAGCGCAAAAGAATCCACAAGTAGGCGCGGCCAACCATCGCCATTTTGTTTGCGCGTCATCACACCCACGGCGGGATACCAAACAAGGGCAAAGAGGTGGAGAGTGAGCGGAGCTACAGACACCTGCTGGCATTTTGCTTGGACCTGGTTCAGACAAACTTTACTTTGGGAGAACGCTTAATACTTTATCACCTGTGACTCGTTTGTATTCTGACCACTTGTGCTTGGTTGTACACTATATCAATAAAGTGTTTAGTCTTTTAAAAACACTGCTGTAATACATTGAGCCACTAAACATTGTTCTTATGACGTTTTTCAACAGGAGGAAAACGCGAATTGCTTATAAACACTTCAGATATAGTCTGTGTTAGTTACTGTAAGACTATTGATGAAATCCAGCATAACACTGTATGACCACGCTTCAGATGACTGATCTAGAGCCTACAGCTAATCAATCTGACAGATTC